TGTTTTCATTACATGGAGGTAGTTGTTAACCACCAATGTGCAGGAACTCTGCAAACCAGACCTGCCCTGTGGATCGTTTGTCTTCTCTGACCTACTATTATACATTTTGCAGTAGTGTATATAAGAAAGTGAGGATATCAATCCTTTATTAAAAATAAATAAACTTAACCTTTAAGTTGATAGAGCAGGGATATGGAAGTAAAAGTTCTAGGAAAATGAGAGAGATGGACAGTAAAGAAGTACAAAATAGAATAGAATAGAATTCTTTATTGGCCAAGTGTGATTGGACACACAAGGAATTTGTCTTTGGTGCATATGCTCTCAGGGTACATAAAGAAAAATAAAATAAATACATTCATCAAGAATCATAAGATACAACCCTTAGTGATAGTCATAAGTTACTAATAAGCAATCAAATTATACTATGAAACAAATAAAACAATATAAAATTTAAAGATACAAGCAATGTGGTTATAGTCATAAGTAGGAAGCGATAGGCACTAGGAAGGAAGAGAAGAATAATAGTAATACATTCTTAGTAGGTAATATGACAGTGTTGTGTTACCTACTAAGACTATTACTATTATTCTTTTATTGTATTCTTTTATTATTCTATTATTGTATTAATAAATGAATAATAAAAGTGAGTTTACACTAAATGTCTGCATCATTCCTCTGGTGATCAAGTTATATATATATAATGTAGAATTTTAAAATGATTTTATAGCATATGAAGGCTGGATTCATGACTTTATTTTTGATATCTGCCTATGGCAATTCTGTCACCTACGTTTTTCACGGAGAACCTTTAGAGTAGTTGCCACATGCAGATTTAGGATTTAGAAGCGTGTGACTCTAGTCTGAAACTATTTCCCTTGCTGTATTCTTACCAGCTGCTTGTATAGATTTGAAACTCATCATTTGCATCATGACCGCAGTCAAGCTGAAAGGTGGTTGGTATAGGGAATGGAGAACTTCTGTTCTAAGAAATGGTTATTCCCAGGGCTCTAAACTAGAAATAGGCACAATGCCTGCTTCACATTACTTGTAATTTGATCTATTTGCAGGCAAGCCAGTTCCTGGGATGTAGGGAACAAATGAGGCAAGTGCAGTGTGTGTTGCCAAAATTAGTATAGTTCAGCTAGGGTTATAAATTTAGATGGTAGGTCACAGTGTAAAACTTTAGCAAGGTCGCTTGTATGCCCAGAGGGGGGAATTATGAGGCCATGTTTTGGGTATCTGCTTTGTTCGCAAACAGAGGTAATACCGGATGCCAAGTTGCAGTTGAACCGTTTATTATAAACTAACATAGAACTACGACAGATGAACAAGAGAGACCATCTGACGGCTATTTGTAAGACCGCTATCGGTGGCCAGCCAATCCGCGGCTACGTTTAGCGCGCCTGTCCCCGGGCGCGCTGGAACCAATCAGCGAAACTCGACTCAGCCCAGGTTGGAAGTCCGAGGACTTAACAGTATCTGTCCAGAGAGTGGTCGATAACTTTTTTGCCCTAATGTTTTTGTGTGATCAGAACCTCACATCCGAGTGAAATGTATTCTTTGCATTAGTTTACGGATCAGTTCAATGGACTCATGTAAAGTTAATGGAAAGCAGCGCGGCGGTTAAAGTTTGGTGCCGCATGGATAATCTGATTCTGGATGTCTCATTCTTGGATTACTGAATTATGTTAAACTTACGTTTTTCTAAAACCTTAATTTTAGAAGCTAAACTCCTGAGGGTGTTTTTCTTCAAACATAGGAACTAAGTGGAACTAAGTCTTTTCTGTTTCTTTTGTCTGCCCAACATTTTTGTTTATTTGCTTGTTCGTATGTGGACTGGCAATAGGAGCCTCCAAATATTATTTCAGAAGCATGGTGAAGTTGCAGGAAAAAAAAACAATTTTAAAAGCTGTTTTCTCAAGTAGAAACCTGCAAACTTCTTAAAACTCAGGCCATACAGCATGATCTCATCCCCAAATTAATAGAAATTTAGTGAAATTTTGACAGTCATAAAAGAAAACGCTGCAAGGGGCCTCTCATAAGCTACGCTGCCAATCTTTTAGTACAGTGCTTTTCTCTGTGGGAGCTGAAATTAAGGAACCTTGGATCCAGGAATAAAAGTCTTTGATATTGCTATTCTAGCTATTCTTTTTTCTTTTGCATGGTAACATATACATTTGCCATCATCCAGAAATGGAATGTAGTGCTTAACATGCTTTCAAAGCAGCCTCACGCTCCAAGTCATATGACGGCTTTGTGTAGCATGACATAGCATCTTTGTGTAGCATGACATAGCATCTTTGTGTAGCATGATATAGCATCTTTGTGTAGCATGACATAGCTTTGTGTAACATCATAGCTAGCATGTGATGAAATGTCTCTGTGGATGCTGCCCACATGCAAGGTTCTATCATTTCATTCGTGACCCATCAAAACAGCGCTCGACTAAGCCACGCCCGATTAAACCGCGTCACTGACGTCATCAACAGGGCGACAACAGCCAGAGACAGAAGC